AGCGTGGGCAGTGAAAAGGGAACGAAGGTCCTCGGCTGGTGAGGGTAATGAGTCATCAGCCTCCTGCCTAAATGGGGAGAGCTCCTGCATTATCTGGAGGCCCGCAAATCCGTTGCATTGACGATTTGTCTGAGGAAATCGACGTGACTGCTGAACGAGTTTTTACTCCCCTGCAGTCAGACGGCCAGGAGCTTTCAATGGCTTTCCAGTACCTCCGCTTCCATCGCAGCCATGGCCTACAGCCGAGCGTGCATAGTGCGGCCATGTCGATTCTCTTCCCGAACGGGTGATGCGTTCCTGTCCTGGGGCCGGCACCTTCTTCTCCACACAGAAAATTCCGTTGAGGAGGAGCTTTTCTCGCACTTTAAAATTCAAATCCTCCGATATAAGAGCCAAGATCTTCGTTTTGACCAGGAGTTTAGCTACTTCTATCCACTCGGTCCGATCGCAATTCATAGACGCACTCGGAATAAGGTTTGGCCATTGGTCTTCAGGTAGAATACAAAGTGTGGGGTCAAGCACCCATTTCAACACCTCATCGGTGGCTACGGACGCTGCCTGCAAGGAACCTGCGACGTGATCTGCAGAAAGCCCCGGGAGGATCTCACCGAGTCTTACAGGCAAGGCATGGAGGACCTCCTCACCTGAATAGTCGATCCCCTTGCTCCTCACAATGTCCTCAAAGCTTCGGTCGAGCCGCACATCCAATGGAGACCGGAGGAAGTACTCCACTAGCCTCGAGATATGATTCATGGCATTTACCTGCGCAGATGAGGGAGGCTTGTCACGGCTTGGGAATAACACTGAACTCCATCCGCAAGCCTCACCATTAAGCACCGCGACAACCAACTGCACTTAGAGACCCCTCTCCGGACCGTCACCCGGAGCTGTACAAGGCCCCCTACGAGTTGTGGCACCGTCAAAGACTCTCGGGCTGTCGCCCGGTACATCCCCCTGGTCGTCTCCAGGGTGACCCACACAGCCGCTTGTCAGCGGCTGCCCCGCGCTGTCTGAAACACCCGATCCTTCCACGCCTTGCGAGTCTCTCCCTCGCGACGCGGCGCGGCGGCCCGGGCGGCCGATAAGCTCATCTTCTTTTGCTCCTCGTTGATCTCCTCGGGGGGCTCCTTCACAAAACTCACCCGCCGGCCTGTCTCCTGTACATCGGGGTGCTTTCCTCGTGAATCCTTTTTCCGAAGGAGTGGCGGCCGGATCGCCACATCCTTCCCCTCCTGAATCGGCTCCTGCCCTCCATGAGCTTCCTTCGCTTTGGGCAATGGTTTGGACGGGTCGCGCTGAGGAACCGGGGATGCCCGCCCCGGATCCCCGCAGAGTCCCTAGACCTTAAGCAAGGCCTCACACTTGGCCGATTTCACAGCAAGCTCCCGAGCGAAATACGTCTCCTCAAGCGTCACGCCCAAAGCCTCGTCAGGTAGTATCAGCTCCAGATACTTCCCAAACCTGTCCGAGCCGTCGCGGAGACCCATCACCACGCTCTTGAACCTCTGAATCAACATGTCTCCGGCCGCATCTACCTTACCTTTCAGGAGCAAATCCAATGCCTGGCAAAGGGTGCGGAGCTCGCGATACTTTTCCGTACCCTGCAGGGGTCCTGGATAGCTTGGTTTCGCCGTGCTGAGGAGGTAACGGACCATCACCGGAGACAAGGCATCAGATGACTCCTCCCCCAGAGCTGTACCTAGCTGCTCATGCAAGCCCTGGGGTTTGTCCTCAGCAAGCTTTTGCAATCGGCGTCTCTTGTTTCGCCAACTCCTGTCGTCCTCAGCATTGCTGTCATCGGCGTCTTCGGAGTCTTCCTCCGTGTCCTCGTCCCCGTCACGCCCGCCCCGGCCGCCACAGGCGCGCTTCAATTGTTTCGCAACGTTTTTCTGAGACCTCCTCTTTCTTGGTTTGCGGCTCTCAGTTTGCGGCCCTAGCCACTAAAACTGCTACTGCTGAGCTTCCGGCTTTGACCTCAGCCTGTGTTCCCTGCAACTTGGCCCGCAGCGTGGCCAGACGATCTTCCATCTTCTTTCCCCCAACAGCCGCCTCAGAGAAAGCATTGGGCTCGTCTAACATGGCATCAAGGGCGGCTCCACGACCGCCATCCTCGGGCCTTCGCCCATCGTGGTTTCAACCGCTTGAGGGGCGGTCGAGCCTCCGGCTCTTCCTCATCATCCTCCTCATCGTTCCTGCCTACATTGTGATTGGGTGCGGGCAGACTAGCCAATCCTGCAGCTGGTCTGGGCTTGGACTTAGGTGCGGTCTGCAGAATTTCGTGATGGAGCACTTGGCTCAGCTGGGATGCCTGGCTCGCCCCATGCTCTGCACAGATCTTGCGCTTCGGGACGTGTGATAGGGGACCACTTTTGAATGTGGATGACTCTTTTGTCCGGGTTGGCTCGAGCGCATCTCGAGTGATGAAGCCTACACAGTTGGTGAAAACAGTCTCTGGGAAGACCACCTCGAGCCCCCTCATGCTGATAGTACCACCTGTAGTAGGGGTCGCTGCAAGCGAGATACTTAACTTTGATGTAAGCACCCTCAGAATCCTTCTCAAATCGCTCTTCAATCTTGGCTACAGCATGTCCCAACTCGGATCCATCATCACCGTAAATCACGAAGCAAAAGAAATCATCGAGATTTTCATATCCGCTTGAGAAGTTCAGCTTATTGCTAGTAGAACCATCCAACAAGGTTGGAAGTGCCACAGGAGCAATGGCAGGGGCACCCCCACCTCGCCTCCGTCGTGACATGGCAGCGTGGCCGCTTGGTCCTACCTAACCTGAGCATCGCCACTCCTCGAGCATCAATCTGCACAAGAACGGCCTGCATTTAAGCTTGCTCTATCATACCACGTGCTCTCTGCTACACTCAGCCGTTTCACATGCTTCCATGCAGGTCTGTCAGATTGCCGATGTCTCGTATTTGGCCTCGCAGCGCCAAGCGTATGCGCATATTGTGCCCGCCCCTGTTAGGAATATTGATGTACTGGGACAGCTGGCAATTGCTGCCTCCTTTCTTCCCTACCTGCCTCGAAACTTTTACTGCCCTCATACTTCCGTAGCCGTAGACCAAGGTCAGCTCACGAAGATGCTGTTTATTCCATTATTGATTAAGGGGGCGTCTTTGACAATTCAAGTGAGGCTGAGGGCTGTGGCTGCGGCTTGGGTGCAGGCTACACTCTGTGACACGGCATTTTCAAACGTCGTTTCCATGCGGCTCGGATACTCACTCCCTCTTTGGGTTGGGGGTGCGAGTATGCATTGTAGACAAGCCTTGGATCCGCTCGGGCATCATATTTTGGGCTGCATGCACCAGGGATCCACAACTGCCTTCGGAATACGACCCACCGGTATGCAAACATGGCTCCGGAGTACGGGCCCTCGTTTTCGAGAGGCGGGGTGAGAGTCTAGGGCAAGTTGATTTCTCCAGCGCTACCCTGGCGATTCCCATGCGGAATGTTAGGCGAGGATGTCTGTTGATCTCCAACCGCGTTTGCATGGCGCTGTTGCGGCCCATCTGCCAGCGCCGGCCTGCTCACCGGATAGGTGTTGAGATTGCAATCTTCTTAACTTTGTAGTGGATGGTAGTTTCGTCTCGCTTCTGCATCTCACCCTAAAGTATGGGATGCATCTCGTCTTTCGTTTTCGGATTCCCTGTGTGCCCGGCAACGGCAAGTGGTGACGGAATTTCATGTATGGCGCGGTGCCCTGGGAATCTCGAGAATCTTCGTTTTTGCTTCTGAAAGGGCCGTGCCTGCCTGTCTTGTTTTCATAATTCGTGAGACCCGGAATACTCGGAAGCTTGCTCGCTAATATGGGTACTCCGGGCAGACCGCCTACTTTTCAGAAACATACAAATTAGCTGCGCCTATGCACGAGATTTGAGAAGTCTATTTGCAAAGATAACTCAAGTTCATTGACTCAAGAGATGCATTGCTTTGTAGTTCTACACTAATTTTCCTTAAACCTGCGATCTTTCCTTTGTGTAAAACGTAACAAGGAAAGTTCGACTATTCGCGACAGATCCTTCTTGGTGATTCGTTTCTTGTGGCATTGGATCACATTAGCTCGGATTGTCCATATCGATCACTATTCTGTCGCAGCAAACCTTGGGTTGCTGCAGTTGGCTGCTGTCACGTCAGCTCATGCGGATCTTCCACAAGGCAGTGTACACGTGTATGCATGTATGCATATCACCCGTCAAGCCCGAATCAAACCGCGGCCTCGAAAATCTGCTGCCTTTGACCTTCTTATGGGGCACCTTCTTCGACGAAACCCACATTAAGCAACTCCAATGGGGCAGGGCCATCGGAATGTGCTTACGGAAGCGGTCGAATTCTCAGTCCGTCATGGAAGAGCCGCTGAGACCAACATCTTCGGCAGCACGCAAACCTCAACTTTGCTTGCAGGCCAGCATGACAAGCAACAGCACGTATCAACTGTACATAGCTCAGCTGGCAGGCTAGCATAGTAACATGGCCCACATCGTGCAGAACATCGCTGCTAGCAGCATGGCCAGCATGGCTCTATGGCTGCAGCTCGATTGCCACCCTGGACACTGCAGAGCTGCACCATTGCCCGATCAAACCCACGTGAGACACATTGGCAACTGAGAGCAAGTGAAACATGGCGTCTGTGAGATGCTCCCCCAAAGCATGCCGATAGACAGGCAATATAACTCTTCAACAGGATGTCGTGTTGGCTTTCAGGGCATCTGGCTGCCCCATCTTGGCTGGGGACGGACCACTTCCAGAACAGGATTCTGGGCCTGAGACCTCACCTAAGACCTACTCTCCCTGACCTTAGGAAATTCGGGATGGCTATTCCCGAGTATGCTCATTTGCTCTGCGTTCGAATAGACCAACGAATGGTCAGGGTTTGTCCAAGGCATGTCTGCGCTGGCTTAGTCTTTAAGCTCAGGGCTAAGGACAAAGAGTTGCTCTGTACGTGCTACGCTTGCGGCTGGAGCAGTCACATCGCCTCTCGTATGCAGGCCTACACACCCAAAAGCTGGTTGCTGCTGCCCATCCTCATCGTTGCCGACAGGTTGGACAGAGACGCTAGGATCTGTGCCTGACCGCAACAAAATACGCAGCCGCGATCTGTGCCATTTCCCTCCCCAGGCAAAAACTCTCGTTGCCTGCTTCACCATCCTTGCTTTCTGGAGCGCATAGACCTCTTCACACGCTACAGTAATTGTTAATTGTGCCTCTCCCGTCGATACTTCGAAGAACCGGGCGCCGCTACTTCCGCACGACTCGGGGGAATCCACTTCGTGTAGAGTGTAGAGGGTGCTACACCACGTCGCACTGAACCCGTGCCAAACCCTAAAGCTTTGGGCAAAGCCCTAGGGTACAGAAATCTACGCGGCCTCCTTACAATGCAGATCCTCTACAGTGGGGCGACAGTGTCTCGCGCTAAAGTAGAAAGCCGAAGGAACGAAGCTTGCCCTTGCCCGGGCAATGATGCTATGACTGCTAGCGATCCTTGCGTTCTTCTGTGAAGGCTTCAACATGAACTCGAGATTGAAGATGTGCTTCTGCCTCTGCCCGGCGGACGCGGAGTGTCAGGTTCTGGGCATTTTTCAGCTCATCCTTCATGAGGTGTGCATCGCCCTCCACGGAATTCACCTCCATAGTCGGCTGGGCTCACCATCCCCTTCGAACACGGCTGCATGAAGAGCACCTTTTGCCGAGACCCCGGCCCGAATGATGCGCATTCCCGGGGTGACCACGTAGTGAAACCTTTGCTCAGCGACCTCGGTGAACGACGTCTGACCATAGCTGACGCCTAAAGCACACTCTGCAGAAACGAGTTTGCGAATCAACACCAACACGGCCAAGGAATCTGAGCTGGGGCAACGGCCATCTGCTCATTGCGATCAGGCATATGGCCTTCTGCACTCACCTACAAAGCCACGGCATGCTGTACTATGCGCACAAGCTCCACAGAGTGTCGAAATATGTGAAGCTGAGTGGAAATCCTCTGTGATCTTGAGGTCACGGACCTTCTCATTGCTTGGCTTCTCGAACCTCAGCATGAACGATTCGCAAAAATATAGAGACTATGCAAGTTTACTTGTAGGACCGCACAGAGAAAGCCCGCAGCTAACTACTAGATCCCGGTGAACCCTTGCAGCCTTATTTCCCTCTCTAGGGCTCCAAGTGCTCACTGCACACCACCCCGAGCTGTATCCACCAAGCCAGCTGAGGCTGACCCTGGGGACGCAGCTTGAACCCTAACTTCTTCTGGGCATCTGCTTTCTTGGAAAGAGACACCTCAAACCTTGGTCCAGAATGCAAAGATGTCTGGGGCAAGTCAGGGGCAAGTCAAGAGCAACATCAGCCTAACCCCAACCCCATGCGCCAAGTCTCAGTCTGGAAAAGTCATCTGCATGGTCTTTCAATGCTGGCTCTGCCCTCCGAGTCTCGAGCTCCTCGGGGTATCGTAGCACCTCCATGCAAACCTTGCTCCTGTCGAGTCATCGCGCAAGAACAAGTTGTCAGTTGTCGTAGTGACCGGACGGACAGCCACGCGCAGGGTGCGCGATGGGCAGCTGCTGCGAGTCCGACGGCCACCGCGCTTACCTAAGCGTCCCTGAGAGTCCGACGTTCGCAGCTCCTCGAAGCAGATCACATGCACGGAATCGGAACATGTCAGAGCCAACCGCAACCCAAACGTCCTGAGCCATAGAATCCACAGATGTCTGCCCGTTGACTTTGCTGACCCGGTCGCCTGACGAATCAAAGAGAAGTGCATACCAAAACACGCCATGAATCCGACGAATCTTGCGAAACCTGGCTGGATGACGGCATCTGGGTGTGCCTGCAAAAGGTGAAAAGATGTCAAAGTTCATTTCTTGTCTGCACATGCAGATGCTCATGGGCGCCTCGTTCCACGAGAACAGCAATCCTTCGCCGCCAACTTTGCGAATGAAGAGAACCTGGGAGGATGCGGCTCTGCGAGTTTCGTAGATTTCTGAATCGCCGCGGGCCTCGGGGCCCGCCACATCTATCGCGTTTTCCGACACGCCCAGGGCCTGGCTGCGGAACGCGAAAAACCAAAGCCACTCCAGGCCCCAGGCATCTCAGCTGCCGCCTTGAAGTACTCCTTCTTGCCGCTGCAGTGAGAGAAGCCGAACTTATCTGTGTCAGACCTGGCACTTCGTTTGTCGGCCCAAGGCAGCGCTTAAGCTTTGTCCTCTCAGTCAATGGCCGCTTTTCCAGAACACACTCCCAGAGCTGGCAGCCCTCAGCTACGTCGCAACTCGGACAAGGCCAGGATTAGTCGGGTGGGGGGTGAGTCGGCTACTGACCACTGTGTCGGGAACGGCCCGGAGCTGTGTTGCGAGGGAAGGCCAGGGCGAGGCAAGGCCGGCGTCGTGTCGGCTTCGGGACGCTGCTGCAGCTGTCGGTTTCGAGAAAAGCTGTCGTGGCTCAGGTGCAGCCGTGCGGCATCCCAGGTTCGCTTCCAAACCGGCTGTGCCGCCTGTTGAACAGAGGCCAAGTGTGCTAAGGTGCTGTGCTGCGTGCTGGAGCTGACTGTGATGGGGACGCTTCCTATGCCAGATGCGGCTTCGCTGTTACCGTCATGGTTCAAGGCTAGCCAGTCCTCTCTGAAGCAGCAATTTCAGCAAGAGTTGCTCGGCTTATGCGATGACTTGCCTACTCGCCGATGCTAGGGCCTCACAACTCCAGCACTGCACCATGCCAAGTGTTGGCGGATTAGCAGCCGAAGCAGCATCGGCAATGGAAGCCCACATAGCAACAGTCGTCGTCGACCCTGTCATCAGTTTATCGTTAGAACAATAGCGGCACCAATAGGAACAGTAATAGCACCAATAGTGGTAGTAGTAGTAGTAGTGGTCGTCGTCGTCGTCGTGGTTTCGTTTCGTTTCACTCGCAGCTAGGGATCCGGACCTCCGGACTCCCCGCATCATTGGGGGGAGCACCCTCAGCCGAAGAGGCGGCTGCTGCAGCAGGCGGGGCCGGATTGGCAGAACCCGAAGAAGCAGCCGGAGCCGCTTTCTTTTTAGGGCTTGTCGTGGGCTCCGCACCCCAGCGCGGGTCAGGCTGACCCGGCATGGCACTGCTTAGCCTTGGGCGCTCCGCCCTTTTCGCGCGGGAGGAGGTCCGTTTCCCTTAGGGGCGCGTCGATGTCGAGCTCTGTATCCGTCTGCCGGGACACAGGCCCGTAAGGTCTCGAACACCAGGCAGCGCGTCGTACTCGAGGTCAGCAAATGCCTCCCTCATAGGCTGCCGGTGTTCGCGCGGAGTGTCTTCTCGCGGGATGTCAGCATCCCGGTCCTGGGGTTCCAGGCGCTCGTCCGGGAAGGCGGGCGCCGGAGGCTCCACCGCCTCGGGAGTCTCCGGACCTCCCCTGCTCCTCACGGATGACCCCAAGGACCTCTTCAAGAGGCGTGTCCTCACTGAAGCGGTGGCTGTACGGGCTGGGACCCGTCGCGTTCGGCAGGGGGTACCCGACCTCCTCGTACGCTGGGCCTAGCACCGTACCGGGATAACGGACCGGAGGATTAGCACGCTGCGGCGGCCTCTTATCCAACCGGTACGTACGCCAAAGGGCGGCGTCCGCTGTCACGCAAGGCGCCCCATGCGGGAGCCGCCTTAGGTCTCGGAGTTCGGCCCCTATGCGGTCCAGAAACCTTTCTCCGTTAGACAAGTGCGTGACACCCCCATTCCAATTTGCAATCTGTTCCGGCTGCTTATACTGCTCCTGCTTTTGCTGCTGTTGCTGTCCACTGTTCACTGTTCATGGTCTTCAATGCTCACTTTAAATCCTGCTTTCAAAGCCCCTTTAAGGCTCCCAAAACGAAAAGGTCAGAAGGTTAGATACCAACGAACGGAAGGTCAGTTGCTTTGAACAGGGATTAGGTCCGAGGGCCCCACCGTGCAAAGGCGTCGTCGTCAACGGACATGCTTCTTGGCCCTCCGGAAGGTGGTCCCAGTCCCGTACAGTGGACGACAGGCCACCACCCCCGCCTGGGCCTGGGCTTTTGGGACTGGGCCTGGATTTGGGGTCTGGAGCCTAGGTTTGGGGCCTGGATTTGGGGTGGGCCTGGAGGCTGGGGCCTGGAATTTTGGGTCTGCCGCCTGCGTACCGCAGGCGGCGGGCCCTGACTTGACCGTCACGAACCCCTCCGGAACCGGGCCGCTTCGGAGGCGGGTTGGGGGGAGGCGGCTTTGCGGCCCTCCGAGAATCGAACATGTCCGCGGCGTCAACGGACGGCCCGACGGAGAACGATCTTCCACCTCCGCGCCAGCCATCTCCCAGTCTTCCGAACCCCTCCGGAACCGGGCCGCTTCGGAGGCGGCTTGGGGGCAGCAGCCTTTGCGGCCAGATGATGAAGCTGCAGAGTTCGTGCGCAACGCTGAAGAGCCGCCCGTGGCACGATCCCCTCCGCCGCCGCCTGCGAGAGGCCCCTGCCTGAAGGAGGCCTGGGCCCAGGTCCCTACGGGCGCCGGTTCGTCCATAGATCTCGGACCGCCGCCTAAGGCACCTGTGGCAGGAGGTCGCGGGGACTCCGCGTCAAGCTCCGCAGCTCCTCCGTTTAAAGGGGCCCCTAAGGGAGCCCGAATGGCTCCCAGGCTGCTGACGCTGAGGAGACGGAGGAGGAAAAGGCCAAGACAGCGGCCATCCTGGCACGCATCGACGACTTCATGGCGGAAGTGGAGAGGCGTTCGGCCAGCAGGGACCGCCCGCTTGTTGTCTTCCGGCCTCTCAACGTGGACCCGATCCCTGAAGAGGCGGATCCTCCTGGGGAGTTCGTGCCGGAGAAGGGTTTGTGCATGGGTCCGGCGTCGCAGGGTGCCCCACTGCCGAGGAGATTGGGAATGGAGATCCTAGAAGGATTCCTTCCCGTGGCCACGGACACAGGTGTGGCATTAGCGGCTGTCGTGCAGAGTTCGAGCACGACTATGAGGCCGCATACCACAGAACCGCGGTTCACGGCAGGGCGCTCCCTCGAGCGATGACCCCTTCCCCCTGCAATGATGCTAATTTCGCCGACGCAGGCGTTGCCCTCCGCCGTTTCAAACACGGCGAAGCCCGCCGGGATCATAGAGACCGGGTTTGGGTTTTCGAGGCGGGCAGGGCAAGCTCAAAAATGATGTCGTGAATATATTGTTGCCAGAGGGAAAATACACGACACTGTTCTCTGTAGTAGTAGTAGTAGTAGTAGTAGTAGTAGTAGTAGCAGCAGCAGCAGGAGTAGTAGTAGTAGTAGCAGCAGCAGCAGGAGTAGTAGTAGTAGTAGCAGCAGCAGCAGCAGCAGGAGTAGTAGTAGTAGTAGTGGTAGTAGTAGTAGTAGTAGTATAGTAGTAGTAGTAGTAGTAGTAGTAGTAGTAGTAGTAGTAGTAGTAGTAGTAGTAGTAGTAGTAGTAGTAGTAATAGTAGAAGTGGTAGTCGTGGTCGTCATGGTAGTTGTAGCGGTAGTGGTAGTAGTAGTGGTAGTGGTAGTAGTACAGTGTACAGTGTACAGTCTAAAGTGGTATAGTGGTAGTATAGAAGTAGCAGTAGTAGCAGTAGTAGTAGTAGTAGTAGTAGTAGTAGTAGTAGTAGTAGTAGTCGTAGTACTAGTAATAGTCGCAGTAACGACACTGTCCCCTGTCCAATGCACGTGTGCATGTGCTCGCGCGCGCTGTTGACTGTTCCTGCACGCACTGTTGCCTATATGCTCGCACACGCTGTTGCATGTGCTCGTGCACACTGCGCGCACGCTCTGCGCACACTGTTGCCTGTGCTCGCACACACTGCGCGCACACTGCGCGCGCACTGTTGCCTGTGCTCGCACACACTGCGCGCGCACTGCGCGCACGCTGTTGCCTGTGCTCGCACACACACTGCGCGCGCACTG